GGGGGGGGGGTGTTCATAGTAATCTTTTTAAATCATTATAATGATTTAATCATTATTTAGTATTTTTTTAGTTTTATTTACCTTTTACTTTTAATTATTTATAATTTATAGTATTTATTATTTTATATCTTTATCTTTATGTACTCAAACAGAGTGTCCAACAGGGATGACGGCAGTGCTGACCTGTTGGGCAGGAAGTACATGCTTTCTCATGAACTCTTTCACATGCTGAAGGACAGCCTGACCTTTGGGTGACAGCATGAACAGCTCTTTAGAGATCGGCATAGCTAACGTGGAGCTGCAGATAGAAAATGCATCCTTTATAAACTATTATCAACATTTATAATTACATATAATTACAATTTTAAACCACATACCCTGACAATAAAAATACAAACAATAATTATATACCCTGCTTACATGGAAACACCTTTAATTACATATTCTGATTCTAAGGAAACAACTTCAAAATAAGCCACAAAAATACAACCAAAACACAGATTGCTCATTAAACAAAACTTGCTAATAAGGAAATATATCCTTAAAATGTATTTTTGGACACTGAAAACCTGAAAATAATCATTAACAAATGATCTGTCGTGCAGGTATTTACTCTAATGTGCATGTAGAGTTGAGATTGTGATTTTGTACCTAAGGGCGATCTGTAAACCCAGCTCAGCTAAGGGCTCCACACTCTCTTCAAACTCAGCTGCGTTAAGAGAACTGGCATTGCCCAACAAATGCCTTGCATGTATCCCCTAAAATGGGGAAAGAAAAATTACTTAGTAAGTTTAGACCCTGTGTGCTTTCCTGACACAGAGGAAATAGTGTCACTTTCCCTGTGTGTATAGCAGTGTGTTTCAAAAAACAAAATTAACACAAGGTTTACCAATCATTTGCTACCTTGAACAACACAATTGGCATTCTGGGAGTAAAATTATCAGCCTTCAATTAATATGTTTATTAAAATACACTTCTCTCATTTTGTTACATGGTTGAGGGATACTTGAATCTGACTTGTCTTTAATGCAGAAAAATATATTTGTATAATGCCCGTTAACTAAATTAAGTATAATTAACTGTTGTCCCAAACAATCAATTTCCTACTTACACTAGCCAAGCATTCAAAAGTTTGGGGTTGGTAAAATTTAATGTTTTTGAAAGAAGTTTTTTAAACAAAATTACAATTTAAAATAACTGTTTATAATTTTTATATATATTTAAACTGTAATTTATTCCTGTGATGGCAAATATGAATGTCTTTACTGTCACTCGTGATCAATTTAATACATCCTTACTGAATAAAAGCATTAATTTATTTTTAAAAAACTTCCTGACCCCAAATTGTTGAATGATATATAGTTGTGCTTAGTTTCATGTCTCTCTTAGCACTCAACTCTCTTTTTCTCAAATAATGAATACTTCAACATACAATGATATTTAATGTCAATTAATTTAATAATTTGATAAGAACTCATGTAATAATCTTGGATAAATATAGCTATAATAGCTTTAACTGTCATTTTGTGAAATAAAAAACTGCCCCTTTGCAGCAGGTGAATTTACCTTCTCCATATCAGTGAATGTCTTTATCTGATTGGCACAGTTTAACTTTGTTTTAACCACAATGGCTTGGCATGGTAAGCATTAACTTTTAAACTCAATACCTGTGCAATTGCAGCCATTTTGAAAATAGCCATGGCAATGAAGAAGTTTTGCTGGGGAAGAGAGTTTGGGATGCCTCGACAATGGCAGTAAATGGAGATAAGGTCATCTGGAGAGGGAATTCCTGTTCAAAAGCAATGTATGGATTAATACATGAAATATAGAGAGATAATAAAAGGATATATTAGAGGCAAGGACAAATTAAGAAAATGCCAGTACTGGCAAAAATGAAAAATCCTAACAATTACAATAGGGTTTCAGCACTGCGTGCTTGAACCCCTAAAAATCCTAACAATTACAATAGGGTTTCAGCACTACGTGCTTGAACCCCTAATTTAAAAAAATAATAATAAATGAGAGAGAGAGAGAGAGATGCCCCACCTTTCACTCCTGTGACTCCACCCATTGTGCTGATGACTTTGTAGTGACTTGGCCAGTAGTGTGGCATGAGAAAGTAGGCCAAGTCTGCTATTGGCTGTCCGGTAGTGGACAGTTCCCAGTCCAGTACAGCCAATACACGAGCCTGCAGAGAGACCATAAAGCTTTCAGGAGACCCAGATCCAGTAAAATTTCTTCTCAAATAACAAAAAGTTTGAATTAATGTATGGGAGGAACTGAGTTTTTGATATGACTGACAGAAACACACATTGGTATATCAATTACCAATCACTTCACACAATCACACAATTATGTGGGAAAGTAGAGTTTTAATAGGCTCATTAAGAACATTCTGCTCAAAGATGTGACATTATAATTGGAGGTTAATTAAAGACTTGCTCTGCCAGTCAGTTTTGATTCACTTGATCTTTACAATTCTCTTTGTAATAAATCATTTACTGACGGGAAGCTGGAAAAGTCTTAAGTCTCTGATTGAATCCATAAAGGTAACACCACTGTAATCGTTAAACATTTTCTCTTTGAAAAGGGGTAGTTCCCTAAAAAATGAAAATTAAGCCACCATTTACTCCCCCTTGTGTTCTTCTAATGCCATATGCCCTTCTTTCTTTTTCAGAGCACAAAATAAGAAATTTAAAGAAATGTCCCACTTGTGCTTGTTCATATAATGACAGTGAATAGCAACCAGCTATTAAAAGACACAAAAGTATCACAGAATAGTCCCATGCGACACATGTCTTATACTTTAAGTACTGTGTGGGTTTTGTACCGCTAATGTGTTATTTAACGAAATTCCTGACCTTGGACATTGGTTTCTATGCATGACTGTGCAAACATGAGACTTTATTAGCACAGCAGTTCACTCCAACTCGCCCAGAAAAGCACACAAGCTGCAAGAAATCAAGATTACTTGATACTTTTGCATCTTTTGTTGATAGCTTGTTGCCGGTCTCTTTTCACTGCCATAATATGGATGAGCATGAGCGGGACATTTCTTTAAGTTTCTCTTTTTGTGGTCTGAAAAAGAAAGAAGGGCATACGGCATTAGAACAGCAGAAGGGAGATCTCGTTAATCCCGTTAAAGTTAGTTACGAAGATTCTATGGAGGAATTTCCATACTTTATATTGTGTTCTACAAATGTTTATACATTTTCAAAAAAGACTTTAAAGAAACTAATACTTTCATTCAGTAAGGACACATTCAAATGATCAACTACAAAAGATTTCTAAATTAAATTTTAAATTATACTGAAGAATCCTGAAAAAATGTAGCATGTGACACTAAAGATTGGAGTAATGACTGCTGAAAATCCAACTTTGCCATCACAGGGATAAAAATTTTTTTTTCAAATATTAAAATAGTTTTAAATTGTAATAATATTTCACAATATTATATCTTGTCTCTCTTTTTTTTTCAAATAAATGCAGCTTTGGTGAAACATTAAGAAAAACAAAACATTAAGAAAACTTTTGAATGATTTTAAATGCATATGCATCAAGTATCAGTACCTCTGTAGGGTGGAATATCAGGTTGTCAATTCGGAAATCGCCATGAACAAGGGACACTTCATTGTCATTGGTTGGCAGGTTGCGGCTTAGCCAATCAGAAAGTTTATCCATGGCTGGTATCTCTTTGTGGGCAGAGGCTTTGTACTGCTTTGTCCATGTGGAGACCTGGAAGAAAAAAAAGTTTTGTTTTTTTTGATGAGTGAAAAGATGACCGTAGCTTTAAAGAATAATAAGAATTAAAATACTGATTTCAAATCAATACCTCATTGATGATTTTATCATCTCACCTGTCTTTTACAATAACCTGTTCCCTTCCCATATCCCAAGAGTTCAAGTGTACGGACATCTAGGGAGTGAAGTTTGGCTAGCGTCTCCACTGCAGCCACATACAGAGCTGTCCGCTCTGCCGCACTGACCCCTGGGAGCCTCAAGTCCCTGAATATACGTCCCTGATTTGCAGATGTACATTTACAGCATATCATCATCCTTCAAAGAATCCCACCATTCATAAACAATTGATAACTAAACGGACTGATAAGTGGGGTGAAAAAAACAACAACCTTGCCTGCCCCTTTCTGGCCAAGTGTGTAATTTTAACTGCTTGAGCTAGAGCTGTTACTTTGCATCTCAAAGAGAATTACAATCTTGAAATAAACTTGCCTGTTTGGCTATATTTAACTCAAATATGGTTCAATGTAGAAATAATATGAATTAATTTATTATTTATTATGAATGAAATTTGAATGAAGTTAACATTTACTGGCTATGAGTACCTGTACATGTTCCATGATGTAAAACTCTGTGCCAATGACATGAGTGTCTGTGCAGTACAGCACAGGATGAGGAACCGGAAAGCCAACAGAATACAGAGCCTTTTGAACAGCATACTCTCTATCTATCTGCAGGCACAAAATGTCTCAGGTTACTCAATATAACCATGGTTCCCTGAGAGAAGAAAATGAGACATCCCTTTCTCTGGAAAGAATGAATCAAGCTATTGCATCGCAATATCCAATGCCGCTTGAGAGCAAGGCGGTGTCAGCCACTGTATAACTCTGTGTGGAGCACCATTGCCTCAGAATCTTTCAACTAAGCAAGAGCTTCCTCATAAATACTCTGGGGAGCTGGGGAAATCTAAATATGAGTTGATACAGGAGTCAAGCAGTAGTCACATGCTGCAGTAGATGAATACATGAATCTCAGGCGAGCACTAAGCTCACCATTAGGGGCTTTCGCACCGGGTAGTTATAAGAACATAGTTATAGGAACTAGCCACCAAGCCGGTTCCCCGAGAAATGAATGTTCCCCTAGGGCCATTTTCCTGGTTGCATTCGTAAGCCGGCCGACAGTGACACCATTAAAGCTAGGAGAAAACTCAGATGCGCTGCAACGGCAGCAAGCCAATAGGGCTGGGCAATATAGCAAAAAAATTATCACAATAAAATTTTTCATATCAGTTGATAACGATAATTATCACGATAAATGTCAAATCTTTATTTCTTTAAGTTTAAAGGCAGATTTCTTCTCGAGTGGAAGTTGAAGAAACCAGATAGTTAACTGTGGTTTTAAACTATGAGTCAGTGACTTCCTTGCTGTAAATAGTCTTGTAGTATTACGTCTCTGTAATTTGTGTAAAAGGTTACGTCAGCTTTTAGTTTTCTCTGCAGCTTCTCAAACCTTTTCTATATAGCCACCCTGAAGCTGTTTGGTAGTTCTGGTATATTTGGTTTCCAGAGTAACTCTGCCTGATAATATCCATCCTTAAAAGTTACGGTTACACTTTATTTTGATAGTCCACTTTAGACATTCTACTAACTATAAGTAATTTTGCAAATACATGTTAATTAATTCTCATTAATTTGCAACTACATGTCTACTAACTCTCAGAGTAGACTGTTAGGTTAGGTTTAGGGTTAATAGAATAAGTTGACACAGTCAGTATGTTATATGTTGTGGACCCATTAAAATAAAGTGTTAGAAGATATTAAGCAGACAGTCTACTAATACTCTATTGACTACTAGTTGACATGTAGTTGCAAAGTTACTTACTGTTAGTAGAATGTCTAAAGTGGACTATCAAAATAAAGTGTTACCAAAGTTACTGTCCGTGTTGTACAGCTTCTTTTTCTTCTGGACTTCCAGCTGTCTTGTTCAGTGTGCCCAAAGTCTCTATTTCCCTAAAGGCACACAACTGTTTTGAAATATGTACATCTTCTTCTAAACAGATTTGCATGCATGTTGTGTCTGTTACACTAGACATGAGAATTGGTCCTTGTTTAGCCCATCCAAAAATACTTTCCAGGGCTACAAGAGATTTGGTTAATCTCTCTACCCTACCTAATACCACTTGCCAGTAGTAGTCTGCTCCTATTAACACTGAACTCTCAGAATCATTAGTGAGCTAAAAGAAAAATTCAGCGAATTGCAGACCCTTAGCTTCGAACTTCTTTTGCACATGTTCTCCAGGAACTTTCATATAAGCAGTACAGACTTGAGGAGTTCCAATTGCTGCCATTTCTGTTCTTTCATTTGTGTTCCATATACTTCCAAGTGTCAACTTCATGACATTCACTGTAATCACTGACACTCAGCTCCGAAACTGTGAAGATCCAGCTTCTCTCTATTTAGCACTGGTAATGCTAGTGTTTTTTACCAAAATCTCTTGCACAAAGCTTCTTTGGCTGCCTCCATCAAACAAGCAACATACTCATTTTCTACCTGCCAGACCCTCTATCCACACTTTAACTGTTTGAAGCAGTACAATCGTTTTGCCCATCAGCCTTTGGTTTCACAGTGCTTGACTCCGAGGACACAATAGCTTCAGAGCTAGCGTTAGTATCTTCCACACCTTTATTGTTAACATCAGGCTGCTTGTCATTTCGCTCACAGATTGACAGGTGATGCTTACGTCCGAACTTAAAGCAGGAAATTCCCTTTATCCTACAGAACTTTGCTATATTTTTAGGTTCCAAACAAGCAAAACATTTTCCCAATTATTTCAGCTTATCTTCTTAAGCAGACACTGAATATTCAGAGCAATTTTCAGGATTATGATTCAGATTTTCACAATATACACAAGCCTTGCGGTGTGCAGGGCAGCTGCAGAAGACATTTTCAGATTCAACGGTCTGTTTCAATGGTCTGGCTTTCTAAAAGTTGCAGTGCTTTTTCTCTTTTTTTGCACTTATGCTTTTTCTAGCTATCTCCCTCTCCAAATCGTCCATGGGGCTTTAGTTTTTAATGCTTTGGTCAAGATCCACTAAACTTTCCTCCTTCGTAAATAACATTGATAGCAACTCAGGCAACTTAGCACAGTCTGGTTCTTCTTTACCATTCTCCTCTTCCAACTGAGTCAGCAGCTTCGTTGTCGAGTTGCAGATTATTCTTTTTCATCCACTCTGTTTGTCCATCTTCATTCAACTCCCTTTCAATTCCAACTTCCATCTAACTCTGGGATTCTTATTCCGCAACGCTATCCTTTGACGCTATCCTGGGCACCAAAAAATGTTAGTGAAAGTTCTAGGAATTGAGAAGCTTACACGGATGTCATATTTTTAGTTTGTTTACTTCAGAAAAAAAGAAAAACAGTGATGGGAGGACATGACAAGGCTAAATCAATAAAAGGTTATCAGCACACGTAGTATGTACTTCAAGTATGCAGGGATGGGATATATATATATATAAATATCTTTGCAGTATTTTAAGATAAACGTAAACATGAAATTAATGACGTGATTTTTTAGATTTAGCATCACATGTGCCAAAATCCCTTTAAGGCAAGTCATTTCACTCGGCGGCCATTAAAAAAAATTAACTCAGCAGCCATCTTTGAAATACCTCTCAGGCATGACCAGTCCTAAGCGCACATCTCAAGAACGCTGACTATTTCTATAGCAACCGGGACTTCTAATGGCAGCTGCAGTGATGCGATGACTTTGCAGATTAGCGATTGGCTTCATTAGCGGTTTCATTGCGTTTTGGCAAATCAACATTATATCGAACATAATAGATATGTAATCGTAATAGATATGTAATAGATAACAGAATGTTTGCACCTACATCACGGTTTGCTCAGTTACCCGGATGCACCCGGACATATTGGAGATACTCGGATGTAAACAACAGCATTGATTGCACGGTCAATGTACTACTGAAGACGTTGTTCTACTAATTTATGATGTCTAAACCACAGAAAAAAACATGTGTAAGCTGCTAAATCATATAGAGAAGACTTAGTAAGCAGAAAAGGGCGCAATATTTTGACAAAATAAAGTTAATTGCTAAGAGATAAAGATCTGTACAAACTGGCTCCTTTGGCTTCTAGAAAACAATAATAATAAATATAGCACCATTAACTAAGCAGGCAGTTGTGCCCTAATGGTTAGAGAGTCAGACTTGTAACCCGCATGTCACGGGTTCGAGTCTCAGTACCGGCTGGAATTGTAGGTGGGGGAGTGAATGTACAGTGCTCTCTTTGCTCATTTTCAGCTGCAAAAATCAGCAAAATTCCGTTCGGTTCAGTGGCATTGTTTATGTCAAGGGCGTAGGTTTGCTTTTGACATTGGTGGGGAAAAGCAGAGCAGATTGTGTGTTGATTGTGTGGAAGATTGTGTGTTGTGCATCTTCCAGCAAAATGTTTGTATTTCTGTCCGTATGATTTATATAGAGGGCTAATAATAGCCACAGATCATGCTTTCTTTTCCATTTGCTCAAACTCGACGCAAGTGAACTTTTATTTTAGCCGTTTTGGACTGCTGTCTTGAACTGGGTGCAATAGGCACCCAGTGTGACCTCAAATATATGGCTGTTAGGAATGTCGGCCAAATTTACTACGCCACCCCCACTTTCTGGGGTAAGGGACCCTAACAATGATATCTTTAACACAGGTAGTTCAAATAAATGAACTAGAAGCCAGAGTACAAAAGGTTAATACTTTATTAGAATGACAGATATAATCCTTTTCCATAGATAATGTTATTAAAATAATAACCGGGTTGACAGAAATGTTCCAAAAAAAAGGATGTAAATACAAAACTGAAATAAAGTAAACCAACTTAAATTAAACTATTAGATTACATTGTATAAAACCAATGATGAATATGATACCCAAGATAAGGCAAATCAACCCTGAATCATAGACTGGATAACACACCACATGGGAGGAAACAGAAACCCAAAATTATTCAAAACCACTCAAACCATACCTGAAACACAAACAAAATCACACAACCCAAAAATAAGACCTCCCATACCGTGGTACACCAATCAATAAAATAAAATTCACAACAAAATGAATATCATAAAATCACAAAAGTTATAATACCATGAAAACCCAATAAACTAAATATAAAGCAAACACCACAACTAACAAATAAATCTCAAATTTTAGTGGGAAAGAAACGTGAGTTGTTCTAAATGAGATGCTGCGCTTCTCGTCTGGTGTGCGACTGCGTCCGCCCATGTGTTAATTGTGCTTCCTTGAAGTACCAGTTTTCTAACGTATTTACTTTAACTTCTTAGGTAATATCAATGGTATGACATATTTCAGATGCATCCGAAATTACAAAAACATACATATATTTAATTGTTTGATAAAAATTATTGCTAGGGACAATTTGGTAATCGCTGGATATTGGTAGGGACATGTACCTAACGTCCCCCCCTAATTCTACGAGTCCCGCATGGAGGGTCTTGATTAGCATATCCTTTCAGAAACGGCAATCAGACTCCCCCAGTGCGTTTCTGCATTCTGCCCAAGCACAGCATGCACGCATCACGTGCGCCTGGGAGCTCAATGGGCCGTCACATAAGCGGCATTCCTTCTGCACAGTGTAAAAGTACTCAAAAATTATATTCAAGAGAAAGTACAGATACTCAATGAACTTTTTACTCAATTAAA